AAAACATAGTGAATACAAATTGTCCCTGACAATTAAAAGACAACCTCCAGACATTTAGTAGTGCTCTCGAATACTTTAGGGAAATCAACAAATTGCTTGGCATCTCCTGGGGGAGAGTCACAAAATGCTAAAAAAAATTCCATAAATTGTTCTCACTAAGCCATGTAAGAAACACAAGAGGGAGTCAAGAGAGAGGCTTCATTACAGGTAAAAAGGTAGACTATTTGCTGTGGTGTCTTAGGTCGCTAACAGTGACAATGTTTCAGTGACATACACAAAGCTCAACTTGAATTCAATGACAAAGCCCTAACAAAATGGTGGCATTTCCAGTTCAGTTCTCTTGCTTTCTGCTAATCCATAATGCCTGGGAAGGAATAGGACTCCTCTCCTTTCCATCATATTTGTTTCATATAAATAACTGTATCTGTAGTGCAGGCCAAAACCGAAAGCACCACTAAAGAGACATGAATTTTTAAAAATTGGCAAAATTAAGAAGCTGCAAGTATTCAATCTATTATTTTGATGTCCTTCCGAATTCTTAGTTATCTAGTCCTCCAGGCTGTTTCTGTGACCGTCTCAATATAATTTAATATTTCATGATTATTTAAATGAATGTACAAATAGGATTCTTTTCCGATCTCTTGATGAAGCAAAAGGGGATTTCCACCTCACACTGAGCTGTGAAGGCATTTGAAGAGCAGAAGACTTTTACGTAGCTTGTTTCATAGTAATGGTACAATGTTCAGCGTGGGTTTCAGTTTCAACTGGAACCTGACAGAAAGCAGATATACTATAGTTATCTCTAAGAGTATAGCTTATTCAAAAAACAACAGTTGGTATTCAACAAAGATGTTAAACTAAGAAAAAGCAATTTGGTTCTTTCTACAGGACACTAAAGCTTGTGAGACAAATTGTCTCACTATATATATATATATATATATATATATATATATATATATATATATATATATATATATATTTCCTTACCTTACAGGTAATTTGAACTTACCAAGTATGATTTTTCTCAACATTTCATAGTTGCAAAATAAAACAAAACAAAACAAACAAAAGCAAAATGTATACTGCTTATTACATTTACCGATGATATTTCTCTAAAATTACTACTACTGATGCAATTTCCACACTTCGGATATAAGAAAGGCATGTGCATCAAGGTAGGACAGGCTATCAGGAGGTCACAATATTATAAACAATATTTTAAGTGATTTAAATGCCAATTTCATGGAATCACTGTTGTATTTAATGCTATAAAATTCTATGTTTATACTTATTTTTCTTTGAGATCACTTAGAGACTGCTGTCACTGTAATTTTCATTGTAACCAGTATTATTTCTATTTTTTTAAAGGAAGCTTTCATACCTACCATATTTTGAACCTAATAATTCTCTTACCTTAATCTGTCATCCACCACTTACTGTGGTATATTTTTTATTCATATATTGTTAGGGATATTCAGACACATTTTTTGATTACATAAAATGTTTATCTGTGTTTTGTATTATATCATAGTTTGAAGGCCATTCCTGTTGCCTTAAAGTGTAGAAGAATTTAAAGTAACATTCCAGAATCCATGTATATCTCATCTTTAGTGTATTTTATTTCACCTCTACAGCATTGTGTAACATAGTGACTTCAAACTACACTATCCAAGGCATATGTGTTCAAAGTTACATTAAAGGTACAGTATCTCTTTATCCAAAGGGAGTTTTTATGAATCTTCATTATATGAAAACAATGCCAATACTTACTCAGGGACTGATGGGAGGGATAAGTGAATATTAAATGATCCAAAATATTGGTTTTGTGCATGAGAATAAAGAGTTTTGAATAACTTAAGTATTTGCCCAAAGTAACCCTTTGTATATGCCATAAATGGAGATACAACTGAGATTATATCTACGTGTGTATCTAGATATGCATGTGTCTCATATGTTTCTGCATATAAAGACAAGTAATTCTCACTGCAATCTGTTACAATTTTTTTAATTTTTACACGTGTCCAATTTCTGTCAAGTGTGTTAACTATTTCAGCCTGTATCACCTCTAGGCATAAAAGATTTTTAGGACTATGTGTTGAGGTAGAGGGTTCTATACATTTTTGGAATTTGTGATTTAAAATTTTTATTATAATTGTTATGTAATTGTGCAATCCAATTTATTACATAATTGACATGTGTATTGTCATAATATTAAATTTAATTTACATGTCACTATGTGATTGCAATTATATAAATAAGAAAACTTTAAAGAATAGCATAATAATTTATATATGTAACACCCAAACTTTTAACATAGTTCTAACTTTTTTCATATTTCCTTTATATATCTGTGTCTATATATCTGTATCTAGTTCTATACATTTATATATATCTACATATATCTATATACTGTATACCTACTGGTATCTATTTATGTATCTATCTGTGTAACTATGTATCTATTGATCCATCTACCAATCATCTACCTTTCTATCTATATCTATCATCTGTCTATCTATCTATCTATCTGTCATCTATCTATCTATCTATCTATCTATTTATCATTTAGCTAGCTAATCTATCTATCTATACCATCCTGGTTTCTTAACCTTGGCACTATTGCTATTTTGGATTGGATACTAGGTATTGTAGAATGTTTAGAAGCATAGCTGACCTTTAACCCTAATGCCAGTTGCACCCTACCTCCCAGTTGTTACAACCCAAATGTCTTCTAGACACTGAGCAATCTCCTTGGTTAGTAAAATTCCTCCAGGCATGAACCACTGACTATCTCTGGCTCTATCTTTATTTAGGTAGACAATTATTTGTGGGAGGTGGGTTTATTTTCATATATCCAAATTGGAAAGCTTGGATGTATCTTGATTATACTAGTTTTGCAACTAAAAATCTCCCAGATAATAATACACAGAAACTATTGACTATGCTGATGTCTCTTTCCACAATAGGCTTTCTGATAACCTGCATGGAAACACAAAATCTAACGGTGTTGAATGAATTCATTCTCATGGGGATCACAGACCGCCCTGAGCTGCAGGCTCCATTATTCGGGCTTTTCCTTGTCATCTATGCTGTCTCAGTGGTGGGCAACTTGGGCATGATCATCCTCACCACGATGGACTCCAGGCTACAGACACCCATGTACTTCTTTCTCAGACACCTGGCTTTCACCGATCTTGGTTATTCAACAACTGTAGGACCCAAAATGTTAGTAAATTTTGTTGTAGATCAAAATACAATCTCCTATTATTTTTGTGCTATACAGCTAGCTTTCTTTCTTGTGTTTATTGTTAGTGAAATTTTTATTCTATCAGCAATGTCTTATGACCGCTACGTGGCCATCTGTAACCCTCTGCTCTACCCAGTCATCATGTCACCAAGGGTATGTCAGCTGCTGGTGGCAGTCCCCTATCTCTACAGCACATTTGTTTCTCTCCTAGTCACTGTGAAGACGTTTAATTTGCCCTTCTGTGGCTACAATGTCGTCAGCCATTTCTACTGTGACAGTCTCCCCTTGTTATCTTTGCTCTGCTCAAATACGCATGAAATTGAAATGATTATTCTGATTTTTGCTGGTTTTGATTTGATTTCATCCCTTCTGATAGTTCTTGTGTCTTACCTGCTCATTCTTGAATCCATTCTCAGGATGAACTCTGCTGAGGGTAGACACAAGGCTTTTTCTACCTGTGGATCCCACCTGACTGTGGTCATAGTATTCTATGGGACTTTGATATTTATGTATGTGCAACCTGAGGCCAGTCATTCCTTTGACAGTGATAAAGTGGCTTCCATATTTTACACCCTTGTTATCCCCATGTTGAATCCCTTGATCTATAGCCTGAGGAACAAAGATGTGAAATGTGCACTACAAAGGGTGTGGAAAAAACTACGTAATCTTTTTTCTTAAAGTTTACATACAATACGATTCATATAAACTAGGTTATGGGCTTTAAATTTTGCTCTATGTGCCTCCAAAGAAAAAACGAGCACAAATGGATTCAACATATGTTTATTGTTTTCTATATGCTAGACACTTCTAATTGCTGTACACAGATGAATGAACAAAATAGTAAAAATATTTGCCTTCCTTGAGGAAGACAGATGGATTATAGGCATAAATTAAGTCAATGTTATTATAGAGTAGAATGTGTTAGGTGGATATAGACAGAAAAAATGTCTATCAAGGATTCTGGTACTTTTCTCATCTATCAGGATTAAATTATAGTGTGTGTGTGTGTGTGTGTGTGTGTGTGTGTGTGTGTGTGTGTGCGCGTGTGTAAGCTCTTTTCTTTCCTTTGGTTTTAGCCTTCATATGCTTCCCTGGCATTTTTAGAATGATATTTTATAATGGTTATGTCTCTGATAGCTGATGATTTGAAGTACTGAGTCATATTACTTTGCTCAAATACCCCTCTTCTAAAGACTGGTATCCCATTTTTTCCTCCCAGTGCCTCTCTCCCATTTATGAGTCTATTAACTAAACATACTTTATAGTTCAACAATCTGTAGTTTCTTATTGGCACCTGATTTTGTCTTAATCAGTCCATTTTATTGATATTGGAGGATACTCAAATTAAAACATATCTTTGAGGCCCGTCAGAAGCTTCCAGGATTGTACTGTTTTATCCCCCAAGTGGTTCTTGCTTAATAACTGGCTGTTTGGTTTTGGAGATTGCAATATTTCCTCTCTCTTTGAAAAAAAGTAAGTATCCATGTATCCTTGCGTAAGCAAACTATTTTATCATAAATTAATCGTGGTGCCTCTCTTTTCTTAGGCTGATGTTTCCCAATTTTGATCAGTATTGATTATACACTGTGTTTTAACTGAATTTCATTGTTTAACTGCATTCACTGATTATCTTACTTGTGGGAAACAAAGGGAAATAATCTTGTTTTTATGATGCCATATTTCTAATGTAAGTGAGGCCTGATGCCTGACAAGGACGTAGTTATCTTATCTTTGGTACATAGTTGTTCCACATTATTCTCCACATTTTCCCAGATGCTTACTTTTATTTTTATTTTCCTTTTGCTTGCTTTTTTTCTTATTATTATTCCTGGAATTTTATTGAAACTCTTAATTGATAATATTTGCTTTGCTCGCCATCATGCAATAAAATTCTGTTTAGCCAATGAATATTTAATAAAAATACTTCATTGGAATAAAATTTTAAAAGTGCATGATACAAAGCAACCAAGGTGTCTTCAGTAGGAGCATGGGACATCCAGACAATGGAATATTATTTAGCACTAAAAAGAAATAAGCTGTCAAACCATGAAAAGATATGGTGGAACCTTAAAAGCATGCTGCTAAGTGAAAGAAGCCAATCTGAAAAGGCCGACTGCTATATATTTCCTACTATATGACATTCTGGAAAAGGTAAAACTATGGAAGCAATAAAAAGATGAATGGTTGTCGGGGGTTAGGGCACAGGGAAGGATGAATACAAGGAGCATGGAGGATATTCAGGGTAGTAAAAATACTTTGTATGAAACTATAATTGTGGATACAAGCCATTATTTATTTGTTTAAACCCATCGAATGCACACCACCAAGGGCGAACCCTGATGTAAAGTATGGAGTTTGGGTGAAAATTATGTGCCAAAGTACGTTCATCGATTGTAACAAATGCACCACTGTGGTGGGGGCTGTCAATTATGGATGGGAGAGACTGCATGTGTTGGGGCAGAGAATATATGGGAAATCCCTGTCCCTTCTTCCCAATTCTTCTGTGGACAATTTTTTCTGAAAAATAAAGCCTTAAATACAAAAAAAAATGCATGATACAGTGTCATGTGAGGATAAATATTATCAAAGTGTTGATGCAATAAAAAAGGATTTTTAAGATCATCATAAAAACTACCAGGTAATAATATCTCACATTTTGAGCATTCTTCCTGTCGTGATGAATTTAGTTAGCACAACAGCTCTATGAGATAGGTTCTATTAAAACATGAGGTTACAAAATGGAGATTCCAAGAGGTTAAGTAAATTGTCACAGTCCACTAAGGTATTAAGTGTTAAACCAGGTTTCAAAGCCAGGTGGTTAAATTCATGCTCAAGACTTTATGTTCTTCACAAGTACCCTAAATTGTATGTTAATGTCATTTTTATGTTTCACTGATGTTGCTCCAGAGATGACAAAAGGTAAAACTTTACTTCGGGCAGATGTCAAATTAGAGGAGGAGAAAGACTACAAAGATTAAAAAATAACAAAACAGTGAAAGCCATGTCTGGCATGCACACGTGCGCGCGCGCACACACACACACACACAAAATGAATTCAAGAAAGATATAATGAGTCTATTAAAAACAAACAAATTGACTCAAAGAAATATAAATTAATCAGGCCTTTTTTAATGAGCGATTTTGCTCAACCGGAAGCCAAAACAAAGTGAAGATAGGACATACTCTGAGTAGATCTGTAATAAATCAGAAGAGCAATGAGCATGAGAATTAAGTTGTTAGAAACATGCTGAAAAAGAAATAAACAAGGAGACTCCCATTTTAAGAAATAAGTTCTGTTCTAAGACATTCAGCTCCCTCTGAGAAATAAAGATTGAGACAAAACAGAATTCCACAGAAGCCAATCTATTGCTAACAATTTGTAGGAGGAATTCAGCCGAGGACAATATAAGAGATAAATGTTCTTTCCCCACAAAAGACAGGTCTGTGAGGGGAATATTTATTCTCCATTACTTTCTGCATCTCAGACTTTGAAGAACCTGTTTACATGCACTTCATCCATTTGGGAAATTAATTTAAGGGCAAGAGGATATATTGACTCCAATATTGTTGAGCTACTGAACCAGTAAATGCCATGAGGCCCAACGTGTGATCATTTTTCATTTTAAATTAAGCCCTCTTACTTGAGCTGGTGTTTGTTTGGTGACCTAGAACTGCATGGGAAAAGCAGTCCTAAATGACACAATGAGGAAAGACAGAGCACCACACACAGTTGTGAAGGTTTGGCTATGTTATTTTAGGGAGTGCCATTCATATAAACTGAGATGTGAAAAAAACATCCCCAAAGATACCAGTGTATTTCCCTGATTCCTGTAAACACGCGAGGGCTGCCCATCACAGTTATTAGACAGATAAATGGGATAACATACATCTGAGGAATATTTATCAGTCCCAGGAGAAAACCTTCACTCATCAACATATATAGTTTGTCACTGAAACAGCGCCTACAATACAAGAGAGAGAATACCGATTGAGAAGTATGAGTATGAAAGTTAAATGGTATCATCTTTAGAAAAAAAATGATCTGTGATTTCTTAAATTTGGAATGATTCACAATAATCATAATATTCCCAAGTGTCGAATTGCACCTGCATATGGTTTCTTAATTGGAGAAAGGAATCGTTGGGAAAGAAGGCAGGCACGGGGAATGACAAATTGGTACTATAGGTGCAATGTAGGTATGGATTCCCTGGAGAAAGAATGACCCCTGGAGAGCTGAATAGAAGTGCAATGAGGCAGAGCGGTCTCGAAAGTCACGTAATGGGAGGAGCTCTACCTTAATACTGTATTTTGTATTGATTTAGAGATTAACAACCTACAGTATCAGAAGACCTGCATGACAGACTATTGTTTTTGTGATGCAGTTCTATGAATTAAACAGTTTTCCTTTCTGGCCACCTCCTCAGCTGACAAATAAATGTATAGAATGAAAAGCTGTGTACTTAGAAGCTTCACATTCATGGAATTACTAAAAGTGAGAACGAACTGGTAGAATGTGCTAGAATTAACAGTGACTTGAAATTAACAGGGGAAGTATTTTGTTTCTACGGCCCTTTTCACAGCATCCTTTACCTCTTTGTTTCTCAGACTGTAAATCAGTGGGTTTAACATGGGAATCACGAGGGTATAGAACACAGAAACGACCTTCTCCTGTTCTACAGAATACTGGGAGCTCGGCTGAATGTAACTAAAGCTTAAGGTAACATAGAATATGGTTACAGCCGTCAGGTGAGAGGCACAGGTAGAGAAGGCTCTCTGTCTGCCTGCTGCTGAGTGGATCCTCAGGATGGCAAAAACAATGAACACATAGGAAATGATCACGATCAAGAAGGTGGCCATGGCAATGACCCCAGAGAAGATTAAGAGCAGCAACTCATTCATGGAGCTATCAGAACATGACAGCTTGAGGAGTGAGGGAATATCACAGAAGAAGTGGCTGACAACATTCAGCCTACAGAAGGACAGCCTACCCAAGCTTATTGTGTGTACTAATGAGTTAATTATGCCACATATCCATGACCCAATGACCAGCCCTACACACTTCCTCTTGGACATGGCTACACCATAAAGCAAAGGATTTGCAATGGCCACGTAAAGGTCATATGTCATTATTGACAGTAAGAACCCTTCTGTGGTAACAAACACCCCGAAACATAAATGCTGTACCATGCAAGCGGAGAAAGAAATGGTTCCCTTCACAACCAGGAAGTTTAGTAGCATTTTGGGTGCGATTGCAGATGAATAGCAGGCATCTCCGAAAGAAAGGCAGCTAAGGAAAAAGTACATGGGTGTGTGGAGCTTGGGAGTGATTTGGATTAAGAAGATCACGCCCAGATTTCCCACCAAGGTAACGGCATAGATCACCAGGAACAACACAAAGAGCACAAGTTTCAGTTCAGCATGGTCTGTCAATCCCAAAAGAATAAACTCTGTCACAACAGTAAAATTCTTTTCAGCAATATGTTTGCTTCTTTTCCCAAAATCTGTTGTGAAAAAAAGATACAGAGATTACAATTTATTAGGGGATAGGTTATCTATCTATCTATCTAGCTAGCTAGCTAGCTAGCTAGCTAGCTAGCTAGCTAGCTAGCTATCTGTCATCTATCTACCTCTCTTTACTGATGTCAATCTTTGGATAAAAAGTATCTCTGGGGCTGGCC